AGCTAGGTCAGGGGGTCTGTTACACCACCCTTCCCCAGGATGGAGGGGCAGACCCAGTGAAATCTCCCTTGGAGGTTTTCTGGTCCCATGCCGAGAAGGAAGATGTATATAATTTTTGCCGTCTGACTGACTTCAGACTAACATGGCTAACTACCTCTCTCTAACTTGGATTACCAGCTGGGGTGACCTGAGCTCAGAGTAGTTGCAGGGGTTATGGGGAGGAGCATAACCCTCTCATTGGGATTCCTGTTGGGTTGTCCCTTGGAGAAGCAGGGGGAGAATGCTTCTAGTACATACTAGTCCCAGCTTGTCCATCTCTTTCCAAGGAGGGGATGAAGCCCCTTAGAACATGTGCTTTATCTGCTGCCATTTTTAGTGGCCCAAAATATGGGACTTTGCTCAAGTGATTATTCGGTGTTCTGTGAGCCACTTTGACAGGAAATAATTTCCTAATGGTAGTACACTTTATTTTTTTTATCCAGTTGTCACCAGTACTTCTAGCTACAGCTCCTCAGTCACCCTGAGTGGTCACCCTCCCTCCTTAGTGTTTGCACCCCTTAGAATCTAAGGCTTAGATGCTTATCTCCTGTTTCCCCCTCATTGTCATTTAACCAAGTAATGACATGTATTTGTCTCTTTCTTCATAAACCAGGCTGCTTAGCCTCTCATTGTTTTTGTTATTGTTCTATGAATTTCCTCCATTTTGTCAACCTGCTGAGTTGTCCAGAAGCCAATGCAGTCTTCTAGGTGTGGTTGTGCCAGTGTGGGGTAGCAAAGGGCTGTCCTCGTGAGTGATCTGTAATGTGATGCCGCTGCATAGATTGCCTTGGAGCTTCTCCTGCCTCCACCACCCCCAGCTTGCATTGCAAACTCATCTGTAACTTCCTGGCAACTGTCGTTACAAGGTTTTGCTCGGCCCTGTTGCTCCCCAGTTTCTCCCATTTAATATCTTATCTTGGAAACCTAATCTAAACAGGACTCACTTTATTTCCCACCCATATTTCTAATCATCAAATCTCTATTTTTATTTCTTTGTCCTCATGGGTGTTTGTAGCTCCTCTTGATTTTAATATCCTTCATGAATGTTGCTAATGGGCTATCTGCGTTCTTTGCCCAGATCACTGATAAAGACGATAAATAGAAGCGGACTGAGGTTTTCTATTCCATAACACCCCCCACCCAACACCGCCTACGCTTGTTGCCATGTATCATTTGTCTTATGGTCCTTTAGCTGGCTGTCAACTTGGATGTCAATGCTCGTAGAAAAGTGAAGTAAAAAAACAGCGGGTAATAACTTTAGCACTAATGTAGCAATTTTTGCTTTCAAATTGCTTCATGTGATTTAAGCATTGCAGCACCCAATGAGGTTGGTAAGTGGTGTTATCCTCCTGATCTGGATCTGGAATATGCATGTGGGGAGGCCCACATTTCAGAAAGGTAAGGGTCCTAATTACTTACCTCTTGACAACTTACCTGGTCCCTTACACCTGTGTAAAGGGGTTCTGATTGGGCTGGTCTGTGCATGCTTTGTCAAGTTTTATGTAACAAGGCAAATTGAGGCCTACAAGGCTCCAAGTCTTGGTAGGCAAAAAGGGCGTGTTTTTTAAAATACTTGGCTCAAGTGAGAAATTTTAATGCGATGGAAAAACTCACTGAGCTGCAGGCCAGTGTTTTTGAACCTGTGTTAGCTGGTCTTGTTGGACTCTGTATGGTCTTTTCAGTCTGGGGAGCTGGCATGCTGTGTGGTGGGGTGTGTGGAGGAAGCTGACACTCCCATTACCCATCCTCTCTGTGAAGAGTGACTTGTTTGCTAGAACCTGTCAGAACCTGCCTCAGTCGCCTATTAGTTCCCTCTCTGAGCATTCAGGCCATAGGGAGAAATGAGATGAAAACACCATTTGAGCAGCTGGGCCTTCTTGAGGCAGTGTGTTCTCTAACCCATGTGAAATGCTCCTTGCAGATCATTCTTGGGAGTTGAAATGTTGAAATTTTGCTCTGAGCTTAGCCCGTACACATGCACATCAAACCGATTTCAAATGGTGGTGACTTCACCCCTCTCTTTCGGGCCATCTGCAGTGTTTTTGGAAGGAACTCTAGAGACCCACCCTGCTTTGGCCAGAGAGGGCAAGTGGGGGACCAGACAATGTAGTTGGCCTTTGCTGTTTTCCATGGTTCTGTTAGTGGCTCAGTAAACAGCAGTTCAGGGTGTGGAAACTTGGACAAATAACAGTTGGGGAGGAGCTTCTTCTTTTTACTCTTTTGGCTGGATCAGTCAGCAGTGCAGTGCCTTGCCAGAGCTGAAACGGGGATCTGAGGGTTAGAATAGCAAGAGTTATTGCAAGCCAGATGCATTAGCACAGCTGTTTGTGGTGGTGGAGAGGCTGGATTGCTTCAGAGAGGAATCATAGAAAGGAGAGTGAGCTGGGGATTGTCTGGCAAGCAAAGCATGCTGGGACACTGGTGGTGTCTGTTTGGACAGTTCCTGGTTGCATGCTCCTCCCTCGCTGGGGAGGGGAGCTCCTTCCCTTTGTTTCCTCAGCTGTTAACTCTCTCTCGCCCTATCTGACTTCTCCCATCTGTTCAGCTGCTACCCTTTCTTCCGTCACTAAGCTGGCAAGGAGAAAGTGGTAGAGGGGGAGGGCGTGGGGAGAAGGAAGAACATGGCTGTTGTCCTTCCGATTATTGTGCTAGACAGGCAGAACTGCTACCTCTTCAAAGGGATGGATTCCTTGTGGAAAGTGTCTCCTGTTTGGCAGGTGACAACCCTCTGTCCCTGGAGCCCCATTTAAAGAGCTCATGACAAATGGATTCTGTATTCACATGGCCCCCACAATGGAGAGCAGCTGGGGGTGGGTGTTAGAGGATTGTGGATAATGCTTAAGTCTCAGGTGGCTGAGACAGTCTTGCAGCACTTGTGTCTGAAACGGTCTTCTCATGCCCTGAACTCCAGGAGCAGCTTCTGGGGAAGGAGGTGGATTGTTAGGTGTCTTGTTTCCAGCTTCTACCAGTCTGGGTTGTGAAAGAGAATTGGGGTTGAAAGCCATGATGAAAGGCCAGAACCTCCCGAATGCTTGACCTGTGTCCTGTTGCTGCCTGCGTGGCTCTGAGCAAGTCGCGTAACCTGTCCGGGTGTGTTTCTGTGGCTTGAGTTTAGTATGTACTTGCAGCCATAGGGTGACAGCGAGGATTTGTTCACTGAGCGAGCTTTTAAGAAACGTATGGGGCTTTCACCAAATGCTTTGTGTTTAGTCACTCTGATAAATACTGGATTAATCCCTGTGGTATAGCTCCCTAAAGCTTTGTCTACTAGTCTATTTCTAAAACATCCCAAGAGCTGGGGTTGCTTCTACTTCCCAGGGGAAACTGACACCCCTATATTGGACTTTGCAGGAGATGGGACCCAAAGGCTAGGATTGTTTGTCACATCTGGGATTTACATCCTACGGTTACAGGCTTTTATTAAAATAAATAAATAAATAAATTTCCTACCTTACGTGCTGGCAGTGATAATCTCCCACATACAAACAGGCTTGGAATGGCTGCACTGTCCTCCTTTTTCAAATCTGCCATCAGCCTGAAATAATGATCTGGAGATGTGAACTCACCTATTCCTTTTCTCTTTTTTTCTCCCTGTCCCTCTTCCCCCCCAACCTCTTTGGGGTTGTTACTCAAAAGCCAAATGATGAAATTTCTGAGACATTTGTGCATATTGTTCATTGTGTGAGTGGATGGACTGGGATGGGAACAACACCCACAGAGGGAAAGGAACTGTGAATTGCTGCAAGAAGCTGAGAGGAGTGTCAGGAAGGCGGGGAGAAGGGAGGAGAGGGAAGGAAGTTATGTATGGGTCCTAAATTCCTACAGTTCTTAACAGGCAAGTATCTTTCCCACTGAGAAATGCAGAATGAGAATAAGGGACCGAACAAATAATTAACTAAAAGCTTAGTTACTATTCAGGGGCCATGCCGTAACTTTCATCTATATGCAAACCGAGTGCGTGTGAGATATATATTATAGTCCTAAATATCTCTCTGACCCACAGGCTGTAATATAAAGATGGAATTTATCTCTCTCTCCAAATATGACCCTTGGCTAAATGGCTCCTGCTCTCAACATGGCTCTGTCCCTCAGTACTGAGTAAAAATATTTCATAATATTCTTCCTGTTACTCCTCCTCCTGCCTTGGAGCAGTCTGAATAATTCTTTTTCCCTCGTTGCTGTTTACAGCCTTCAAATACTTGCAGATTGCTGCCATGTCTCATTCTTCTTCCCTGCACTTCTTCATGGTCCCTTCTGCATTTTGGCTTTTTGGATCTTTCTGCTTACATCAGTGTCTGTCCAGGTCCCCGATCATTTTTTGTTCCTTCCCCAAAAATTCTTCCCAGCCTGTCTGTTGCAGACTTGCCACTGTAGACTCTAGGTGACATCTTTCTGTGAACAGGGTGTCTTGTTGTTTTCAGGAAGTATCCACAGGGAATGGACTTTGGGTCCATCTCCTTTTTTGGAGACAGCATGGGAGAGTAAACCGGAGTGTTGCTTTTCGCCTTTTTGGTTCTAACAAGGGGTGAGGAGGGGGTAAGGATAGAGGGTGGTGGGGTGGGTATGAATGGGACGCAAATATTTTCTTTCTGCGTCCCTCGCCAAGGAGGCCAAGCTGGTGTGCTGAGTTTTTACAGTGGTGGTTCTCAGCCTTTTTAGGTTCAGGGTACCGCTCTGTACCATGTTTTGAATTTGGCATCCCAGTGGAGAATCGTTGTTGTGCTGCTTTGGCTTCACCTCGGTGGCTCTCTACTGGGTGATGCTGCCACTGCAGCCAGGTGGGATGACCGTATGCACCATGTGCACTGCTGGATTAGGAAGCGACTGTGGCAGGGAAGCACATCCTGCCTGCACTAGGGTTATTTGAGCCTAAAGTGGCATGATCATGCCCTCCTGCCTCCGACCGTTTCTGGTCTGACCCCCCTCCTCCACTCCTAGAAACAGGTGTGTGGGACAGTTCTCCTTAGCTGCTGCTGCCAACGTGGCAGTAATGCCCATGTCACAGCTTCCCGGTTGGGAACCGTTGTTCTTTTTGCAAGAATTGACTTGACCTACCAAGACTGGCTGGATGATCAGCATTTTCTTCTGTGACTCACCCCAGTTCACTGTTTTGTCCCTGTCTTTTCCAGTCCCTTGGCTTCTAGTGGGCTGTATAAACGTTCTTTCCTCACCAGCCCGACTTTGATTTAATGTGCATGTTCCAGGATTACTTCTGTTGGATATTCCAAGGCACAGGCAAATCCCTTGTGTTACCTGTCTTCAGTGTTTTTGTGCAACCTTTAGTACTTTGTATTCCACTGTATGCTTGGGTTTGAGTTAGAGAAGGGTATTATATGCCAGGACCTATACACAGAACTTTAAGTGCCTCTGTTTTTGTTTCAGTGTTTCATCCAGTGTATTTCTTCATAGTTCTAATTTTGGGTATGACAAACACTTCCATATTGACAAAGGGTAACCACACTGGAGAAGTAGGAAGGAGAAAGTGGAGATTTTTGTCTCCTGGATGGAGGGGCCAATTTGGGATTGTGGGATAAGAATTGCTGCACTTAACTATACCATTATTGACTGCTTTTGTCAATATAGCTAAAATTCTCATTGCAAAATTTTAAGCTTGCTTTATTGAGATAATGGACAGTTTTCCCCCCTCAGAGATTGCATTGGCTGGCCTTTGCAAGCCTTTCTTTGCAAATGCAAGAACTAAAAAAAAGGTGGGGGGGAGGGCAGACATGTGGGCTGGATTGTGTGTTTACATGAAAGCTAAAATTATGAAGCTCAGTTCTGTTGCATTCCAGGGTACTGGCTTTTATGATAAGGTGTTTAATGCAATTCAAAGCATGTGTAACTTTTATTTTGCCCTTTTTTCTCTGCAGGTGCTAATATTGCCACGGGTGAAGAGGTGGCCATTAAGTTAGAATGTGTCAAAACGAAGCACCCTCAGCTCCACATTGAGAGCAAGTTCTACAAGATGATGCAGGGAGGAGGTGAGATGTAGGAAGGAGCCTAGGGAGGTTGCTGTTTCCAGCGGGGGTAAAGGCAGAAATTGTTTCCACGGGTCTTAAGAGGAGAAAAGGGAAGTGCTGCCAAGGTATCTTAGTGTTGGATGTGTCCTCCTCACCAGGAGATGCTGCTGATGGTTGGGGAGTCACTGTAATTATCTTCTGTCTGCCTCTGGTTCATGGTGATCTGCCTTTCTTTCTCCAGTGGGTATTCCCTCCATTAAGTGGTGTGGGGCAGAGGGAGACTATAATGTGATGGTGATGGAACTTCTGGGGCCCAGCCTGGAGGATCTCTTCAACTTCTGTTCTCGCAAGTTCAGTCTCAAGACCGTGTTGTTGCTGGCTGACCAGATGGTGAGTTTCCTTTTTAAAGGCATTTGTGCATATCTTGCCCTTGCTTCCCCACCCTCTCCAGTTAGTAGCTGTTGAAGCTCTTGTATTTTGGGCTTTCCCATCTGCTTGACATGAGCTGAAATGGCTTCTAGGGACTTTCCTCCTAAAGAGGCGGGTGGGGGGCTGTTAAACCATTTATAAAAACCTAGGGCTTATTGGAGGGGGATTACATCAGTTGCCCATATAATCCAGTATCCAGTCTCCCACAGTGGCCAGCACTGGATGCTTCAAAGCCGGTGTAAGAACACAGAGGTGGGGAATCTGTCTTCCTCCTCTCTTCCTTCTCTGCCTCTCCTCCAAAAAAAAAAAAAAAAAAAAAGTGCCCCATATCCTGGTCTCTTACTACTAGGTTGGCTGACCTTTAGGACATAATATTCCTTACAAACTAGCTTCCCCTTGTCTCCTCCTTAGGAGGATTTGAAGTTTTGTTTGGTTCATGTTCTGTTGCCACCTCTCAGTCCCAGTGGGTTGAGGAGAAGTTCCCTTGGCTATGACTTGTGACCTTTGCTTCAGAGTGATAGGAAGCTAGTAGTTTGAATGTACCTCCCCTGCCTGTTTTGGGTAGGCTTGCCAGGTTACTTGCTTTTCATAAGGCTGTTGAAGATGAGGATTGTAATTGAAACAACCTTAATGAGCTCCCTTTTCCACTTCTTGTCTTCTCCCCCTTCCAGATCAGCCGTATTGAGTACATTCATTCCAAGAACTTCATCCACCGGGATGTGAAGCCAGACAACTTCCTCATGGGGCTTGGGAAGAAGGGCAACCTAGTGTACATCATTGATTTTGGCTTGGCCAAGAAATACCGAGATGCCCGGACCCACCAGCACATCCCCTACCGGGAAAACAAGAACCTGACTGGCACAGCTCGCTACGCCTCCATCAACACCCACTTGGGAATTGGTGAGCCTGTTGTCCCATGCACAAATTTTTTTGTGGCGGGGAGTGGGGAATGACTCATCATGTTGAGGGGAGTGCCCAGGCAGTGTAGATCAGTGTAAGGGAAGAGAGCAACTGTTACAGTGAAGCCTGCATAATGGCTTCTGTTCTGATCTCCAGGCTGCAGTTGCTCCATGGTGCTTGAAAAGCAGCATGACCCAGTACATAAGGTGCCTGGGACTTGGAGGGCCTGGGATTGTGTTCCTTGTTCTGCCCCTGAGTTGCTGGGTAACTTTGGGCTAGTCACTTCTATACTGTCTGCCTCCATTCCTCCCAATCCTAGTCTGTCTTTTGTTCATACTGCATGCTATGGGGTGTTTGTGCACATGCTTGGGGGGTGGGAGGGTGCTTTAATTAAAATACCCGGTGCATCACATGTATCGGGGTCCTCATGTTGAGAAGTAGCAGCAGGAGCGCTTTAACTAAAGCTTTGTCGAAGGAGCTTTAGGTAAAACACCCCATCGCCATTTTTTCAGTGCGGAGATGTTGATGCACATGACACTGGAGTCTGCTGGGGCATGGTAATTACCACGCTACAGCAGACTTGATTAATCAAGTCCACTCTGATGTGCTGTAATTATGTGCAGCCTCACTGCACTTGTATAGGCATCATATATTTTTGTATGGTAAGGGTGTTTAAACTCATCCAGCCCTGTAGGCTGGATGAGTGGTGTAGGACTGGTCTCTGCCAAGGGTGGGGGCATTCAGACTTTGGGATGTTGAAGAATTGCATTTGCAAGGACTTAAACAACAACAACAAAAAACCCCATACCAAGCAACCACCCTCTTAGGCAGAGACCTGAAGAGCAGGCTGTAGGTATGGAGCTCTGCCAGTCAGGTCAGCATTTAGTGCCTGGTGACATGCCCAGTTCTTACCACTTCAAGGCTGGGGAAAGGTGCTACCTGGATGCAGCTGGAAATCAGGGGTTTGTTTGACAGTTTGTCTTGGCCTCTGGCTAGTAAATATCTAATGTTCCACTCTCCTTCCAAACCTCACTGAGCTGGATATGGGGCTGGTCTCTTTGCTCAGGCATCTGACTACTGTGAGGAGCAGGGAGATGAGGTCTCTCCTTTTTTGTGCAGCCTCTCACATTGGGCCCATTTCTCCCATGCCTCATTTCCTTTCTTTTGCTTGCAACTTGGTGTATCAGCTGCAGAGCAAGTTTCGTAGCTGCCCACAGCACGTCGAACAGCAGCAATAAAAGTGTTCAGCTTCTTAACTTCAGCTTGTGGCTGGCGGGCCAGCAGGAACACACACACGCTCTGCAGACTCAGGAAGATGGCATGCACAGTGCTGTGCTCAGTTTGCAATCAGATGCCTTTCTCCAGAATCATAAAGGAGAGAGCGCATTATAGCAATCTGTTTCTGCAGGACTTTACATCCCTGTGAGTCCCCAGGAAAAGCTTTTCAGATACTATAGAGGCAGAACTTGCTCTGCAAAGTAGATATGGATTGCCCTCACTTGTTGGGGGTGCTGCATAATGGGGTGTAGGTAGCTTTACTGTTCTCGGCTATATCTGAAAAATATGGCAAGCCTCAGGGCCAGATTTTTAACTCTTTTTAGTGGGCCCTAGGCAAACAAACTCGTGGGCCCCAGATTGGCCAAGATCCCCTTCCCCACCCCGGTGCTGCTGACTGCAGGCAGTGGGGCTTGGAGCTGCTGCTAGGAAGTAGCCCCGCTGCTGTGGTGCTGGCAGAGGGGAAGGGAAGGGAGGCAGATGGGGCCATTCACGCTGCCACATGGAGGGCAGGACCAGGGCCCCCTGCAGCTCGGGGCCATAGGCATGTGCCTAGTTTGCCTATGCATTAATTTGGCCCTGGCCAGCCATGTAGGTCCTTGCTGGCCATATTTTGGTCCAGCTTTATATATAACCTGACTGTGCAATTCTTATTCAATATGGCATGCTACCAGGACTGGAACCTTGAGCGTGCATAAAATAGTCCCAACTACTGTCTGTCAACAACTGTTTTCTTTTTGTGGCTGCCATGTCTGAACTGAACTACCGAGAGACTAAGCATTCAAAATAGGTGTTTGAGTTGCCTGCTATTGTCCTAACTCTTTAGTCCTTTGCTTCTGGAGTCAGGCACATGATCAAGATGTATGTTTAGATGTTGTTTGCTTTTCAAAGGGTAAGTGGCATGTTCATAAATCTGGGAACGACACTTACATGGCTTTCTTCCCCCTCCATTTTGTGCGAACATTGGTCCATGCAGCAGCTCTTAGGAGTACTGTCTCCATTTGGCCATTCGTTTCTCTGCATCACGGCAGGGTGAAATGATTAACTTGTTGAGAGAGTCAGTATCAAAGCCACAGTTGGAGTACTAGGGCTTCTGGCTTGAGGCACCTGAGACTTCCCCCCCCTTGACAGATTTCTGTGGGGCAACAGTTCCCCCTGGGAACTTTCAATGTGAACAGTTGACTTTTCAGTTACATTAATGCATAGAGCTTAGTAACTTTGAGGGCAGAGGAGCCAGGTGTCAGTGCATTTGTGGGTCGGGAATAGCAAGCAACTTAATGCCTTTATTTGTATGTGCAGGCTTGGGATTGGACATTCCAGTGTCTGGAGGAAATGCATTCTTCTCCTGGCGACTGGAGAAACAGTGGGCTGGAAGAGCAGGGAGGGTTTCCACAGCTGGAGACTTGTTACTGGGAGAGTCGTTTGACTATGCAGCCCTTGGTTCATGCATTCCAGTCAGTTTTCACATGCTCTGGGGATGAGAATCCTTTGCATCTTTCTGAGCTTGTCAAATCCAAAATAGATGTCCAGGGGTGCCTAGGAGACAGACTAGTAGATTCTGTCTGGAGGAGGGAGATGGGGGAACTATTTTTCCCTCCCCATCTCTAAATGCCTTTTATAGATGGCACCAGCCTGGGCCAAACAGGTCTTGTAGCATTTCTGCAGGTCCAGCCTCCATTCATGCACTGTTAAAGGTACTAATCATTCTGCAATGTGCTATCCTGGAGTGAACAAAATCTGACCCAATGTCAAATGGGAAAGAAGTGACTTGACAAGGACTTTCCAAGGGCTGGAGAGGGTCTGGGCCGATTCCAGGAAAGGGAGCCAATCTCTAGGGACTTGCACATGGAAACATTGTTGTTTTGGAATGGGCAGGTGGGAGTCACTGTTCTGGGAAGCGGGGAGGACATCTGGCTGCAGTGAATCGGGCTGGGTGGTGAATCTCATCTGGTGTAAATCCTATATCACTTTTTTGTCTAGACATGTGGTCCCCACACAACCTCCTGCCCATTCCTGACTCAGCTTTCATCTGGTAGCTAGCTAGGGGGAAGGGGCAGGGACAGGGCTGGCCCAGCCATGTGTCTGAGGTGGGAGGAAAGCAGTCTTAAGCAGGGTGGGGGAAAGGGTTATTGGGCAGAGAGGAAGGGAAGAGGATCAGCAGCTTGCTGCAGTTGTGGAGCTGCTCCAGCTGAAACTGATGATGAATTGTGGTGCCTGTGATTGACTAAGCACAGGTCTGAGTTGTAATCCCACCTGCAAAACTGACTCGCTCCATCACCTCAAGTCAGTCTCTTCTTTCTGTTTTTCTCTTACAAGCAGGAAAAAGTGGAGACCTTTCTGTGCCTCTCTGGGTGTTGTGAGGACAAACTGCTTTTCATCTGCAAAGTGTTTTCTACTCATCTGGGTATAAGAAGCCGCATTCTTGAGTGGAGGGTGATGGTGGGCTTTGAGGTTGAAGTTGCCTAGTGTTAGCAAAGCACAAAGAGACAACAATATAATAATGTTAATTGTGCTTTTTAATATATGGTCCTAGGCCAAAACTGTGTTTATACAGAGCTAAGTTTGAGAGTGTGTGTCTTTAACGGTAGAATATTTCATAGGGATGGTGTTGGGATAATTGCAATCAAGCATAATTAAAAACTCAGACATGTTAAGGTGAAGCAATGCACATTTGGGGTATACACACAGATGTAGCTCTGTTGTCAGGCACCATAGACTTTTTTCAGAGTTAAAACCCTCACTAAAATGCTGCACGTGGGCCACACTTTAAAAGTGCGATGACCTTGGGGGGGG